GACCCATAGCGACCCTGTATAGGGTTTCCAAGGAGCAGCTGGTGAGCTTGAACCACCAACCTTGCAGTTCAAATGACTTTGCAGTCTGACACATTAACCCACAGCACCATACCAGGACTCTTTGTTATTATTAGTAACTAATAGAAATTATATTAGCCTAGAAATATAATTTGGAATTCCTAATTCATAATCATTTTTATTAAAAGGGTATAAATTATGAACCAAATGAGATACACATTTTAATCAGAAATTCAAATTAGACAAACAAACTAGGAGTAAGTCAACATGGTCACACAATCCATAAGGGTTGTTTCAACATGTATATTTTTAAATAAAAATAAATGACAATAAAAGAATAAGGTAATAAAATAACAATAAACTAGCTTACCTAGTCTTTAGAAAAAGCAACAATGGGGTGGTTAAAATATTGACTTACTTTAAGGTTAACAGGAATCTATAAGAAATTGAATTTTTCTATTCCAATTCTCTTCAGTTCTGGACAATTATGTCCTGCTTTAAGATGTCATGAGAAATGAGCTAGCACTTGCTCTTTTCACTCATTTTTTTTCCTTTTTCTCTTGATATTTAAAATAAAGTGATCAAGAGAAGAATTTCTGGTATTAAGACAATAGAGAGAAAACACTAGGCTTTTAGACAAGGCTACTCACAGAAGTGAAGAGTTAATGAAACATCTTATGATAACATCTTAATTAACTGGTGTATTTGAAATATTGGAGATTATGGTTAATCTACTTTTTGAAATTAACAGTATAATTAGCCCACCTAGTAACATAGTGGGTAATGACTTGGGCTGCTAACCACAAGGTCAGTAATTCAAATCCACCAGCCGCTCCTCAAAAGAAAATGAGATTTTCTGCTCCCACAAAGATTTACAGCCTTGGAAAGACTATGCAGGGTTGATATGAATCAGAACTGACTCTGTGGCACATAGCATCAGCATTATTAGCTCTCAGTGTTTTAATCATATTTTACATGATGTATTTTTTATATACAGACATTCTTTCTTAGCTGAGTAGCAAACAGAACTTCATCTTGAATCAATGCCTGAGAATATCATGGGGTCATGAATTAGTTTTCTGGACATCAGTGACTATTCAGTAAAAGAGTAGAGATACAGTAAGACATATAAGCTTGGCTATGCCACAAAAGTGTAGTAGTGAAGTAAAGGACATTTTGGTAAAAACAGGTCTTAGCAATAATCTCTGCAAATACCTTTTCTCATATTTTATGGACAAAATATCCTTAGCAAGAGTAAACCTGTTACCTGATTTTGTGTTTCATTATTTTTCAATTGTGAAATATGCTTCTGTTTACAAAAAGAACTCTTCAAAGTAGCCTTTCAATAATTATTGCTTATCTGTACTTAAGACACTTACCCATATATTTTTAAATCCAGGTCCAGGAGTCCCAGTAGTCAGCCTACATAATACGGACAACCCAGAAAGTGAGTAGACCATCAAAGCCACTTGGAGTGATTACGGTTTCCACTGAAGAAAGGCATTGTATCATTTATTCTAAATGTCATATTCTAGAGGGGCATTTTCAAAGAGTCTGTATATAGCATGGGCAAAATTGGGTAGGTGCCATCAACTTGCCCTTGTGTTAATAAGGAAACAGAAAAGCAAGTAGTTTAAGCCATCTTTTGCTAGAGTTGGATCAATCAGATGATATCTTGTTTGCCTGAATTGAATGACAAGTGATTTGTGAGGCTGATTTGGACATTTTTCAGTCTACTGACCCTTGAGTTTTCTTATTTATTCTTTCCTGTGACTTATACGAGGGGAGTTTCAAAAAGTTCATGGGAAAACTTCATTATCTTTCCATTCCATTTTCTCATGAACTTTTAAAAGTATTTTCATGTAGATCATTTGTCTGGAGCCATGTCTCTTGGATACTTTTTGGAAAACTATGAAACATACAGTTCTTTTCCTAATATTTTCTATCTTTTTTGTTCCAGCTATCTATGGCCTTCTAATTTCATATATTCATTTGTATATTGATTCAACATCTAATATTTATTAAGGAAGCACTTTATTAAATAATGTGTCATAGGTTGGAACTACATAGATATTAAGACATGGCCAGTGTTTAAGAAGTTACAATAAAATAGATAAGAAACTATATAACTAATTTAAAATATATTATACATTTGTTTGTTCAAACAATTCTCTTATGCTCTAATAAGTGAAAATAGACTATTAAAATCTAATTGTGTAGCTTTATATTTATGAACTAAATTAATTCTTAGACTAGCCACCTGAGATAGTTAATTGCATTATCTCATTTTGTAGCTGAAGATACTGAGTCATAGAAATGTTAAGCAACTTGGCCATTATCATATTAAAAAGTGGTATGTCTCATGAATCAAAAGAGACGTTCCAATTCCAAACTGAAAGTATAATCAGTACAATCTGATACCACTTCACCCTACTGTATTTTTATTTCTTGCATCAGTTACTTATTGATATTGAGAGGATATTGCTGCAAGAGTGTAGAGAAAGGATAGAGATATAATAACCATGTAATGTTCAATGGAAAATATCTTTTTGAAAGAGCAGAGGAACTGTTTTATACTCTTCAACTACAAGTACCACTTGAAGATTTCATGCTTGTCCTAAACAAAGTTAAATTTTCTAAATATGCACTGTTTTTTTTTTAGCTGGAAGTTAGTTTGGCAATTCTTTTAGTGTATGTCTATTTCTATATCCTGGTCTTTAGTACAAGGCCATAAAGAGACTACTGTAAGTAAATTCAATTTATTAGGTATTGAAACTAACAGTAACAATAATGACAGTGAACACATTGTGGTTGATAAAATGGGAAGACGATTGAATACTGATGATACACAAATGGCATTTAAGGTTGGTGACATCTATGACAAGTTAATTACTATTCACAAGATCACATTCTTCCTAAGCAAATGAGCATGTGGATTGACTATAAAGTGAGATAAAATCATAGCTTATATTGGAGTTAATCCAATTAACTGACACACATCTAGAATCCATTGAATATTTTGCCTTTAACAAAGGGGGGTAAAAAATCAAACTCAAACTGTCTTTAATTTATATACCTGTTAAAGGATAATGTTTTTCTACTAAATTCTGTAGAAATCTTAAAGCATTTTGTTTATGAGAAGCCTTTGCGATTTTCCCATTCAAGAACCCACTGGATTGTCTTGGGATTAAAAAAAAAAAAAGAAAAAGAAGCTCATGAAGAGGATCAGTTGCTTAATTCTCTTAAAAGGACAATTACTAATGGAGATAAGGCATTCGATGGCAAGTCAGTGTTTGTGTTAATGAAAACAAGTAAACTAAGAAAAGAAGTGTCCTAGTGAACAATTCATAACTCATTTTTGCGCTACATGAAGTAGAGCATGAAGAGAAAATAGAAAAAGAACAATGAAATAATTAACAGACATGGAAAACCTATAAATCCAATATATTATTTAAAATTCAAAGTAAAATTGTAATTCAATTTATCCTAGGATATTAATTAGATAAAAAATTTACATTGATAATGAGGATAAAAGGAACTCCAATCACGTTCTCATAGAAATACAAATTCCAACAGGTCTTTTGAAATAAATAAATAACACCCCTATCAGCCTTAAATCTTGTACATATTCTTACTCAGTATTTCTTTTAGAGTCTATTCTGATTAAATAAAAATAGAGAATCTTGTAACTGGGCTATCTATATTAGTGAAAAACTTACTATAAATAACAGAAGAGGATAATTTAGAAGTAAATCCTAATGTAATTTTCCCCAGCATTCCAGATATTTTTCATTTGTTCCTTAACTTAAGAACCGCTCTTAACTTTCACTTATTTGTTTAAATTCTGTGCCCCAAAAATAGCTTGCATAAAGTCCTTAACAGATTCCCTTGTACTGTGGCTGCTGATTAGATTCCCCTAGTGAGAATCCTGTAAGTAAACAGTGAAAGGGAGTAAAGTGATTATGGGTTATCTATTACTCTAGCCCTGACCCTATGAAGATTGCACAGGTTAGCTATGATCCTTGGCTGACCTCTCATTGGATGATTTTCATGGAGATTCTAATAACTGCTGTATCCCCTTTAGCATTCAGATCACTGTCATAAGCTCTGGATTACTTTAACACCCCTTAAGAATCCCTTACCTAATGGCCATACATTTGTTATTTCCCTTTATTAAAATCTCATGAAAGTAAATGGCTCTATTAAGAAGACACAACAATTCTAAACATGAACTTTTCAATATATAGACCCTAAACTAACAGAACTAAAGGATGAAATAAACCAAAAACAAACCACAACCATTGCCACTGAGCAGATTCTACCTCATAGAGACTCTGTCGGCTAGAGCAGAAGTGCTCTATAGGGTTTCCAAGGCTGTATTATTTAAGTATGTGGACTGTCACATCTTTATTCCATATAGCAGCTAGTGGGTTTGATCTCTTGACTTTTTGGATACTAGCAACCAGGTCTCCTTATAGGAAGAAATAGGCCTACAAAACTGTATCACTCCTCTCACAGGAGAATTTGAAAAACATTATCAATCAGTTGGATATGATTAACCTTTATAGAACATTGAATTCTTAGTGTGGCACTATAGGATAATCACAGGATTGCAAACCACAAAGTCAGCAGCTCCCCACCAGCCACCAGCTGATCCTCAGAAACCCTATACTATATGTTGCTATATGTCAAAACTTGCTCGACTGCACTTAACACCAACATAGAACATCACCTAACAGTATACTTTGTCTTCATTTTTTTTTTTTTTTTCCTTAAGGTGCACTTGAAATTTTTGTCAAGTTAGACCAAATCCTTGAGCATAAGAAAGTCTGTATACATTAAAGAATCAAAAGAATTAAAAGCATGCAGATGGCATTATCTGAGTAAAAGGTAATTAAACTAGAGATAAAGAGCAGAAAGAATTCTGGAAAATATTTTATTATTTGGATATTACCTCACAGCACATTTCTAAATAACAAATAAGATAAAAGAAGAAATCAGGGGGGGAAATAGAAAATATTTTAAACTGGATGTAAATGTAACACATTGTAACCAAATTTTAAAGGCATAATCTAAGTTTTCAGTTAGAGAAACTAGAAAAAAGAAGAGAAAATAAATTAAGTTTAGAGTTTAAAAAAGAAATCAATGATACAGAAAAAGTAAAGCAGGAGAAGAAATATAGAACACACAGGAATCACATTAACTACATCTGTGTAAAGAGATGTTGGAAAAGCTCAATATTATCAGTCAAAGCAAAGCCAACAGCTCATAATGAAACAGGTCATCAATTTCCCATGTGCAAATTTAGGTTGAAGGTAAAGAATATGAAAACAAGTCCATGAGAACCAAAATGTGGCATTGAGTATATCCCACATGAATTTAAAGACCATCTCCAGAACAAATTTAATGTTCTAGATGCTAATTATCAAAGACCAGAGGATAGGATGACATCAAAAATATTATATATAAAGAAAGCCAAAGGTAATTACAAACAACTAAAAAACAGGAAAGAAAGAAAAAGCTAAAATGGATGTCACGAGATACTCTGAAATTTGCTTTTGAATATAGAGCCACTGGAAGAAATGATGAAGTAAAAGAGCTGGACAGAAAATGTCCAAAAGCAGCTTGGTAAGATTAAGTCAAGTATTGGCAAAACAAAACAAAACAAAAAAACACTTCAGGAATTCATGGAATATCATTTGAAATATTTCAACAAACTGATGCAGCACTAGAGGCATTTGCTCAACTATGCCAAGAAATTTGAGAGACAGCCTCCTGGCTAACTGATTGGAAGAGGGCTATATTTGTTACTACTCCAAAGAACAGAATGTGGAAATCATCGAATAGTATTATTAATATCACATGGAAGTAAACTTTTGCTAAAGGTAATTAAAAAATGTTTGTAGCCATATATTATGTGGAACTGCCAGAAATTAAAGCAGGATTCAAAAGAGTATGTGAAATGAAGGTTATTCCTGTTATCAGATGGATCTTGGCTGAAAGCAGAGAATACTGAAAGATGCTTACTTTTGCTTTAATGATTATACCTGTGTGGATTATAACAAACTATAGATAATATTGCAAAGAGGAATCTCAGAAAATTTCATTGTGCTCATAAGGAACATATACATAGATCCGAGGTAGCCTTTAAACGGAACGAGGATACTGAGTGATTTAAAGGCCAGAAAGGTGTGCATCAAAGTTGTGCAGTTTCACCGTATTTATTCAGTCTTTTCTGGACAAGTAATCTAAGAAGCCAGATTATATGAAGAAGAATGTAGCATCAGGATTGGAGGAAGACTCATTAACAACTTGTGATATGCAGATGATACAACCTTGCTTGCTGAAAGTGAAGAAGATTTAAAACATTTACTGATGAAGATCAAAGAGCACAGCCTTTGGTGTGGATTACATCTCAATGTCAAGAAAACAAAAATCCTCACCACTGGACCAATTAACAACATTCTTATCAATGGAGAAAAACTTGAAGTTGTCAAGGACTTCATTCTTCTAGGATCAACTATCAACATGGAAGCAGCAATCAAGAGATCAGATGATATACTGCATTAGGCAAATCTGCTGCACAGGAACTTTTTAAAGTGTTGAAGAGCAAAGATGTCAGCTTGGAGACTAAGGTGTGCCTGACCCAAGCCATGGTATTTTCAATAACCTCATATGGATGTGAAAGCTGGACAGTGAATACGGAAGATCGTAGAAGAATTGATGCCTTTTAATTGTAAAAGTGTTGGAGGGGAATACTAAAAGTGCCACGGACTGCCAAAAGAACCAATAGATCCATTTTGGAAGAAGTGCAGCCAGAGTGCTCCTTCGAGGCCAAGATGGCCTAACACCACCTCTCATACTTTGGACATATTGTAAGGAGGGAACAGTTTCTGAGACAGGTATCTTGTTTGGTAAGATGGAGGGTCAGATAAAAAAGAGGAAGACCCCCAACGAGATGGATTGGCCAGGTATCAGCATTGATGGACTCAACTGTGGCAACAGAAGTGAGGTTGGCCCAGGATCGGACATTGTTTCGTTCTGCTGTGCATAAGGTTGCTATGAGTTGGTGCCGACTCGATGGCACCTAACAACAACAAATAGAGTTTCAGAGGTTGTAAATCTTTGCGAGAGCAGAAAACCTCATCTTTCTTCTATGGAACAGCTTGTAGGGCTTGAAACACCAACTTTTTTGAATCACCAACCTTGTGGTTTACAGTCTGGTACTTATTCTACAGAGACAGTTTTCTTGATTTTAAGAGTTTAGCTAGAAAATTGTTGTAGGATTTCAGCAGAGAATTTATAAGAGTATAAGGAGTGTCTAACTCAGTGCCTGTCAAATGGTTACAGCTTGATAATGCTCTCTTCAATCAATACATTAATTTTTATCAACTCATAGCATTTATCTACACTACTTTTTCTGGTTTACAGAATATTGTATGTTGGAAAGTAATTTTATGCTGAAGGAAGCTATCCTGAAGAAGAAGATCATAAAGCCAGAAATTAAGATGCTTCATATTGATGACTATGGTAAAGTTTTCCGCATGCCATGTGATTCAAAACAACTTTCTATGCATGTTACAGTCTTAAATCTAAATGCTCTTTAGTCTTTAATACTTTATTCTTTCTTTAAAAGAACTTCCTTTGCAGTTGTCCTTTCCCAAAGAATTTACGGACCGAAACCAGTATGCTCTTCTATTAATAATGTAAGTATTTTATATATTTTTCCTATAAAGGAATTTAAGATTTTCTATTTTTTTCTTAATATGACATTTTTTAACTTTAAAAATAGCTACTGAAGTGCTATTTGTATAGTTAACTGGGACAGTGGTCATTTGGGGTGCATTCGTCAAGAACACTACCATCAAATTATATGGAGAGCTATGTAATTTCTACATTTCTTGTATCCCAAGTAGAATTCTATGTTATCAGTAGGAATTATGACGTCAGATAATTAGTTTTGAGAATATCTGGTTGGCAATTAGTCACGCCCTATGCTTTTTATCAAAATTCATATAAAACTGAGGAAACATTTATTCTCATTGTTATCCATTGTGGAAGCAAATGTTACTCCTATTTTTTTTTTTTTTTTCCTCTTTCAAGCACAGAAGAGATCACTCTTGAAATTAACATTAGAATTTAAATTATTTATAATTTGTGTAAAACACTATTTATTGTGTCTCTATGGTGCTGGCCTCAGAGACTCCTAACATCCTGTGGTTTAGTAACTTGATATTGCGTTGCTCTTTTATTCCCTAGTTTTATTTCCATTATTAATAAACTATCTAGCAAATAGTCATGACAATGCTTAAAATTTTTTTGAAATTCTATCCAAAGCTTTTGTAAGTACAGTAAAAATTGGAATAGCATTTCTTATTCTGATTACTTAGTATTGTGGTTACATATTCAGGTTTAGAATCAGATTGTTTGGTTTCAAATTTTGGTTTTGCCGTTTACGTATTCTGTGACCTTGAGTTAGTCACTTAACCTGTGGAGACTCTTTTTTTTTCTCTTCAAATATAAAATATGCTTTGCCATACAATATGTTTTATAATTATTTTATGAATTGAATGAAATACAAAATATAGACCACTTTGTATGATAACTAGGGCAAAGGATTCTTATAATTATTGTGAATATAATTCAGTGTTTCGTATATAGACCTTATTGATTTTATTTAAATATAATATGTAAGTCAATTTGTAGATTCATGTGTTATAAGCCAAACATTACAAACATAATACGATAATATTTTCCCACACTCCTGTGTTAATTCTTAATTCTAATACCTTGGGCTCAGTTTCTTGTGCCTGGACCATTCTTCTTTGTTGCTTATAGCTAGATGGTTCAGAAATTTTTAAATATCTTCTTGAGGAAGTTCTTATTAGCTTTTTCTTATGTCATTCTTTTGTCTCTTGTCTTTCACCTAGTTTTCTTCAATATTCATTTGAATTAAACTTGTGATTTACTGAAGAAAATATTTGAGGAGCTAAAAAAGATAAACAAATGGGAAAACAAAGCACAAAAAATGGCTGCCTTCTATTCATTTCTCAGTCATGTTTCCCTTTGAGAAAAAAGATTGTTTTCTTTATCCACTGAAAATAAGAAGGAAAGGAATTGTACTAGATATCTTACAGAATGTACTCTCCTAAAAAGTAGAAGATAATGGAACTGATTGTCTTTGAAGTATGACACACTTATACATATTAATGTGTAAACAGTAATTCACATTTGTATCTGTGTTAACATCAGATGTCACATGGGATAAGGCAAACAAGAATTAAGGATTTCATCACAGCCTGAATCCAAATAATCTAACTGGTTCACCTTAATGTCAGAATTGTGCTTGGTATGGTTAATTTGTTCAGTAATTTTTGTGTTCTCTTGTATCACTTTTATTTTGAATGGGCATAGATAGACAAGTGAGCACCTCCAGTTCTGCAATAATTTGTTGAAACAATTCAGTTGGAATTCTGTCAATTCCTAGAGCCTTCAGTGCAGATTGGACTCCTTTCAGTATCATTGGTTCTTGATAATATGCTTCCTCCCAAAATGAGTGAAGGTTGACCAATTATTTTTGGCATTTCTTTCCCTTATTATTATTATTTTTTTTTTTTTTGTAATTTTAAATCATGAAGTATCCCCCTGTTTTGTTCAAATGGCTGCCTCAAAGTATATACAAGTTCCACACAAGCCAAATTAAGTGTTTTGGAATTGGGATTATTTTCACTGATATCCATAATTTGCTATGATCCACACAGTTGAATGTCTTAGCTTTTCTTCCCCTTCTTTTGATGTTTACTATTTCATTTAAGATTTTGTTCATAGACTCCTTCAATGTTGTAATTGATGGCTTCAGTTTTGTTCCTTTACTTCTTTTAGCTTAAGAAAAACCAAAAGTGTTTTCTACTTCCAGGTCTTTGAGTCTTTTACTACAGTAGTTTACTTTGTCTTCTCAGGCCACCCTTGGAAATCTTCTATTGAGTTCCTTTTCTTTTTTTTTTTTTTTCATTTTTGTTCATTATTTATCATCCAAGAGCAATTTAAAGAATCTCTATTATTCACATCCACTTTGGTCAATTACTCCTTTCCTATCTTTTTAAAGACTTTGTGGTTACTTCAAATATGAATTTTTTTATGTCATTCCATAACCCATCTGGTATTCAGTGTTCAATGTGTATTACAGAGATAGTCTCTAAATTCAAGTGGAATATACTCACAGTAATATATTGGCTTTCATTAACTTATGACTTTCTTCAGCTCTAACTTTAGCTTGCATAAGAGCAATCTCTTCCATAGACAGCACCTTTCCTTGGTATGATTTGTCCTTTGTCTCTATTCACAGATATAATTGATTTAATTCCTGTGTATTCCATCTGGCAAGATCCACATGAATAGTCACTATTTTTTTCAAAATAAACAATTCATTGGTCTTGAAAATTTCTTATCATGGTATCTCCAAAATCATTTGTATTACCCAGGTTATATTTCCCAACTGCTGATCCTTATTTATTTCCAACTTTTACATTCCAATTATTATTTATAATTACTGGTATAATATATATAAATACCATTATCTATTATCTTCACTGAATGTATGATTGATTTCTCACTGCAGAACTTTTTAAAAATAAAACTTTAATTTCCTCAGTTAGTATTAGTGCTTGGTGGGTAATTGTGAAAAATTATCATATTAACTGGTCTTCCTTGTTGGCATATAGATATTATCCTATCACTGACAGTATAGAGCATGAGATATTCTGTTTAATGATGAAGTGAAACCTTTCATCTTCAATATGTCATTCTCAGCATAACAGACCACATGTAATATTTTGCTTAAGATATTTCAAAAATACTTGCAGCAATGTATCAATAGGAAACTGTTAGAAATTTAAGCTGGATTCAGGAGAGGACGTGGGATGAGAAATAACATTGGTGATAACTGAACTTGGTTGAAAGCAGAAAATACCAGAAAGATGTTCACCAGTGTTTCATGTTAACTTATGTTTCATTGACTAAGCTAAGGCATTTGACTGTGTGGATCATAGCAAATTATGGATAACGTTTAAAATAATACAAATTCCAGAACACTTAATGGTTTTTTGTGGAATTTGTATATACCAAGAGGGAGCCATTTGAACAAAACAGGGGGATAATTCATGATTTAAAATTACAAAAATTCTTCTTGTATGCTGAGTAAAAATCTGAGAATCTAGACTACATGAAGAATAATGAGGCATCAGGATTGGAAGAAGACTCATTAATAGAATGAAATATGCAAATTATACAACCTTGCTTATTGAAAGGGAAGAAGACATGTAGCACTTATTGATGAAGATCAAAGACTACAGCCTTCAATATGGATTATACCTCAACATAAAGATAACAGAAATCCTTAAAGTCTGACCAATAAACATCATAGTAAACATTAAAAAAAAAAAAAAAAAAAAAAAAGATTTAAGTTGTCAAGGATTTCATTTTTCTTGAATCCACAATCAACACCATTAAAACAGAGTCAGGAAACTGAATGATGTATTGTATCAGACAAATCTGCTGCAAAAGATATCCTTAGTATTATAAAGCACAGATGTCACTCTTAACACATCTTCATGCCTTACCCAAGCCAAAGCATTTTCAATTGCCTCAGATTATTGCAAAAGTTAACAATGAATAAGGAAGATCAAAAAATTATAAAGCTTTTGGGATATTGTGTTGGTGAGTACACTGACTACGAGGGACTGTCAGAAGAACAAATCTGACTTAGAAGAAATACAACCTGAATGTTCCTTGGAAGTGAGGGAAGCAAGACTTTGTGCACATAATTTGGACATGTAAGCTGGGACCAGTCCCTCAAGAAGGACATTATGCTTGGTCAGCAAAAATGGTCAGCAAAAAAGTAGAAGATCATCAATGTGATGCATTATCATAGTGACTGCAACAAAGGGCTTAAATGTAGGAACGACTGAGGATGACACAGGACTGGGCAATGTTCCGTTCTGTTGGACATGAAGTTGCTGTGAGACAGAATCAATTCAATGGTATATAACAACAACACAGCTGAGTTTTCATTTATAAGAGTAATATGAGGACTGGGGTTCTTGTATGGCATTGTAGGATAAGCACTGGACTGCTAATTACAAAGTTGTTGGTTCAAATCCACCAGCTGCTCCTTGGAAACCCTATACAGGGTCCCTATGAGTTGGCATCGACTCAATAACACTTTATAATAATAGCACTATGAGGACTTTCACAAGAAACTTATTTAAATATTTTCTTGTTGCACAGTATAATCTGGTCTTTCATAGAGGCAAAATAGTAGAATATGTAGTGATGCATTTGGAATCAGGTATGCCTGAGTTCACAATTTAGCACAAAGATTTTACCAATACATGACTTTATTTTGCAAAGCTTCAGTATTCTTACAAAGTAATTCAAGATATTAACATGTTGTTGCTTGTAAATGCTGTTGACTCATAGACACCCTGGGGTTTCCGAGGAGCGACTTGTGGGTTTTAGTCCCTGACCTTGAGGTCAAATGCTTATCCTACATTGTACCAGGTCTGACTCATAGCTACCTTGTGCATAGCAGAATAAAACTCAGCCCAGTCCTGCACCATATTCAATATTGTTATGTTCTGAACCAATTGTTCCTGCCACTGTGTCAGTCTACTTGGTTGGGGGTCTTCCCCTTATTCATTGACATTCT